GGAGTGGCCTGGGGTGGGGCGCCCCCCGCCTCCCCCGCTCCCCCTCTCCCCCTGACGGGCTGGGCTCCCCCCAGCTCCCCTGTCTCCAGAGTTGTCTACAACGGCAAGAGGAACAGCAGCCCCCGCTCCCCCCCCAGCAGCAGCGAGATCTTCACCCCAGCCCATGAGGAGAATGTGCGCTTCATCTACGAAGGTGCGCGGGCGCCACCCTCACTCTCCCCCCAGCCTTCCGGGCCTGGGTGGGACTGTCTGGTGAGGAGACCCATTCCTGGTCCTGGGGGTCTGGCAGCCAGCACTCCGGAGGAGGTGGCGTTCTCAGCCTTTCATGTTTGTGCAGGGAGGGGGGCCACGCGGAAGACAGACGGGGAGACCCGGGGCTGTCCCAGAAGCGGCATGGCTGGAGTGTGTGAGCACGTGTGCATGACCTTTGTGCCGGGACGTGGTGGGTGGAGGAGGCGGGAAAGATGTGGGCTGGCCTAGAGGAAGATGCGCTGTTCCCCAGTGGGTCACCCGTGCCTCTGTGACGGCAGCACTGGTCACGGTGCCACGGGGTCACGTGGCTGCAAGGGGTGAGGTCCAGGCAGGGCTCGCCGAGGGACCGGGGATGTGCAGCGGGCAACTTTAGGTCAAGAGCGGGCAGGGGCTGCAGGGCCTCTCTGAGAAGAGGGACAGGTAGGACTGGGCCGTCGGCCTGATGGGCTGGGGGCTCTGACTGCCCTGCTTCCCGCAGCCTGGCAGGGTGTGGAGCGAGACCTGCGCAGCCAGATGTCAGGCAGCGAGCGGGGCCTGGTGGAGGAGTACGTGGAGAAGGTCCCTAACCCCAGCCTGAAGAGTGAGTGGGGGGGCCGGCCTAGGAGGGAGAGGCCCGGCCAGGGGCAGGGCTTGGGAGTGGGCTGGGTCCCAGGACGTTCAGAGGCAGGGGCACGACGAGGGGGGACCCTGTCTCCCCACCTGCGGCCACCGCTGAGCACTCTGTTGCCCGGCAGCCTTCAAGCCCATCGACCTGAGCGACCTGAAGCGCCGGAACACGCAGGACGCCAAGAAGTCCTAGAGCGCCGGGCCCTCCCCTGGCCTCTGGGAGATCTGGGTGCCGCCTGCTGCCAGGACCTCCTCTCCTGTGGGCCCAGCTCCTGGGAGGGGAGGAGGCCTTGCTCCCAGTGGGCTGAAAACCCCAGGACCAGGACAGGCAAGATTGACGGCCGAGGCCTTCCCCTCCTCCCCAAGCCCCCTCCTTTTCTCTTGGGGGATCTCAAGCTGCCCCTGTCACTAGGAGAGCTTGGCCTTGCCAGCCCCTGCCCTCCCCTGGGCCTGGCTGCATCTTTGGAGCTGCCTGGCCCTGCCTGCCCCCCAGGACCTTGACCCTGAGCTCCCTCCCCTTTCCCACCACCTTTCCCTGCCCCTACCCCCTACCCCTGGCCACTTGTAGGATCAGGAAGGAGATGAAGGGGCCTCTGTTGTCTTCTGTGCTGGTGGGAGTGGGCTGGGTTTGTCCCTGAGGTGTCCAGGAGACAGGACAAGGGCTATCCCACCCGAGCCCCACGTGGGTTCCCCACTGACCCTTGCTGCTTCTCTGGCCTGGACGCAGGGAGCATCTGGCCCCCCCAGACCCTGTCCAGCCGGGCCCCTTCCTTCCCTGTGTCAGCTTCCGGATGGCACCAGATCTCCCAGCCGGGGACACTGCTAGGCACCTCCTCCAAGGGTCCTGGGCAGCCAGGCCCGGCCCCACCTTGGGAAGGGCATGGGGCTGCCCTGAGCTGGTGAGGCCGCCCAGTGTGTCCTGCTCCGTACAGTGAGCTGGGAGGATTTTCAGGGCCACTTGTTCTTCCTGTGCCCTGCAAATCCAAGTGTCTGTGACTGGAACCTGAGGACCAGTGAATAAAGGCGAGATGGCATTGGTTCGGCCTCTTGGCAGTGGTGAGGCCCCTGTCCCGGCTGTCCACGCAGGACGGGAAATCCAAGGTCATGGTCAAGGCCCAGAACTTGCGTCTGCTCCTTGGGCCTTGCCGGGGGCTCGGGCTTCCGGGGGGGCGGTGGGCAGTGGAGGTGGAGGCCCTGGGGGTGATGTGTCGCTCTGCAGCCCTGGGCCCTCGGGGGTGGCTGCTCCGCTGTCCAGGTATTGAAGAGGGGCTGCCAGGAACCAGAGCCCCAGGTATATCAACCTTCAGACCTGGGCACACCCTGGGGGCCAGAGACAAGCCACCAGAAGTTGTTTCAGGAGCACCCTTTCCCTGGAGTATTCTGGGGCTCCAGCGGCCCTACGGGCAGCTCTGGGAAACCTCTTCTCCTGGGGGTTGGGGTCCCCGGGGACAGGCGGGCAGGCAGGAAGGATGGTTCCCGTGGTAACAGCAGCTGTGGCCTGGTGCCGGGCCCAGAGCCAAGTTCCTGTAGCCACACAGACCTGTGTGCTCCCTGGGGACCTGTGGGGCGTCCTGCTGGGGGCTTGAGTGCCTGCTCGGCAGGTCACTTGAGCAGCTGACCCCCGCCCCCGACTGTCTGTGGCTGGGATGGAGTGGGCAGGCCAGGGCTGTGTCACAGGCTGCGTGACTACACCAGTGCCCGTTTCCCCTAGGCAGCATGTCCTCGACCACTGAGGATGGGGCCGCCGGCCAGCAGAGGTCCTGTGAGAATGAGACCCCATCTAGAGGGTGGGGGAGCTATGCCCGGCCTGGCCACTGCTGCTGGTGCAGCCTTGTGCAAGTTGCCGAGTCTCCACACCTGTCTCCTCAAGTGGAGGTTGGTGGCTGCCTCCTGGGTGGCTGCCCCGCTGCCACCGTCAGCCACCCTGTAGTATGCGAGCAGGGCCCTCAGCCCATGAGACCTTGGGGACCTGGACGTCTGCACTGTGGTGGTCGCCATCCTGGCCTTGCTGTGAGCCCTCAGGCGTGTCACAGGCTGTCCCATCTCGGTTTCCCCGTCTGTAAGGTGAGGGTGTGGGCTGCAGTGCTCAGAGGACCCTCCCTGGAAAGGTCTCGGGCCCCTGGCAGCGCCCTGGGAAATGTCTGATACCTTGAGGCGTTAGTTAAAAGTCCACCTGACTTTGCTCCAGATCCTCTCAGGGTTATTCCCCTGTCCTTTGGGGCCGGAAGGCGGGAGTGGGGCGCCTGCCCTCAGCTCCCTTTGGGCCACAGTGGGCCCCTGCATCTGATCTCCCCTGCCACCCTCCCTGGCCTCATGCACTGGTGGTGGTTGCTCTAAGCCTGGGCCTTACCCTGGAGTGAGTGGGCCCACAGGACACCCCTCAAGGCCTCGTCACTCCCGCTGTCCCTGCCAACTTAGACTTCTGTGAGACAGAGGCTCCAGGCCTGGGGTCTTGGCTGCGAACACCCTGGAGCAGGGAACGTGGGTAACTAGGCTGTGCTGGGGCGGAGACGGAACCCTTCCCTTCATGCAGGGAGGGCGGGGAGGTTGGGGTGCCGGGGGCCTGGGCCTCCTGGGGGGCGGTGGGAGGCGGAGGTCCTGGAGGTGGTGTGTCGCTCTGCAGCCCGGGGCCCTCGGGGGTGGAGTACCCACTCCTCCATCACATCCCACGCTGCACGGTGCACACGTCACTGCTTTCGTTCACTGCTGACAACTATGGGAAATTTTTATTACCCTGATCTTACAAATGAAGAATCAGTGACCTGAAAGAGACTAACCTTCTGATTCTTAAGCTTTTATTTTTATCACAATTTGAGTTCATTAAATACTGAACACGTACTTTGCGCACATCCACGGGTGTTGAGCACGAAGGGCAGTTCCCTGGTGGCAGCTAATACCCAGTCCACCGTCCCCTAGTGTCTAGGATAATAGTCCGCTCAGGGCAGGGACTCAGGCTGGAAAGGCCAAGCGCGCTGCCTGCATCTGCTCGATGTCTCTGAAGTCTCAGCCCCACTAGCTCTCCCCGCGTTTTCCTTCCAGTTGTGACTGACGCCCCTGGGAACTTGAAGATGGGGTTTCCCAAGTGCTGGGCTGGGCTGGCCGCGTCCTGGCAGAGCTGACAGGCTCCCCATCCCCGGCGTTTCCGTGAACTGAGGGAGGTGCGGAGGCTGAGGATGCAGGGGGGTCGCTCTGGCTCCTGGGCGCCCAGAGGAGGACGGGCAGCTCAGAGAGGTCAGCGGGTTGCAGCCCTCGCCTTCTCCCGCCCCGCACCTGGAGGCGGCCACTTTCCGCCGAGTCTTTGGTTTGAATTTCTGTGTCTAAATAGCGTGCGTGAACGGCTGCCTCTCAATCTTCCCGTGTCATCCTCCTCTCCCCTGCTCCACGCGTGTGCTCCCGCCACGCGCCACTGCTCTGGACGGTCCTCTCACTGAGTTGGTGTTGAGTACTTACATCGTGGCATCTCTAGAGCTGAGCCGTGTGGTAAACTGTGTTTGGTTTTTCTTTTCTCCCCAACTTTGTGTTTTCTTCGGAGTTACTGTTCTCTCTTCTGATTTGTTTGGTTTCCTGTGTACTAAGTCCTGAACGCTCCACCAGGTCTTCTAAGTCTCCGGGCATGTTCAGTTGCTGCGATCCCCTCGAGGGCGTGTCTCCTGTAACCCCCTGCCCTGCTTGAGGCCCCTCCCCGCGGTGGGAGTGCCACCCTGCCTGGCACGCAGCTGCTGTCTGGGGAGGCCCCTCCGCTCTGCTAGGTTTGGTCTCTGTTTATTGCAGTCTGTGTTTTCCTCCTCTTTGGTCTCCACACTCATTTTAATAGCATGTGTCTGGGGGCGCACGGGCACACACGCGTGCTAGGCAGCTCCATGCGTTCTTTCGGGGAGGGGCCCGCGGCAAGGCCTGGGGTGGAAGTGGGAAGGGAAGCAGCGGTGGGGGAGGGGCAGAGGGCCTGGGCTGTTGCCTTTCTGGATGGAGAGTGATACTGTGAGGGCGCTGGGCCCTGAGGTGGATGGTGGGCTCCCCCACCCACACCCCCTTCACCCCACCTGCTCAGAGCCAGTGTTTATTGGCTGGCTGAGCCCAGCCCCTGCCAGCCTCAGCCTCCACCCCTGACTCCACCGGCCTGCTCCAGTTCCCTCGGGGACAGGGACAGGGTGAAGGAGGACAAGGGCAGAGGGAATTGGGATGGGGAGGGCAGTCAGGAGTCCCCTAGGTGAGCGTCACCCCCCCCCAAGGCAGTCACCAGCCCTGAGCTCAGCCTGCGTGAAGGAGACCTGGTGCCCTCCTGTGCTAGCTTGTGCCCACAAGGCTGCTGGGGGTGGAGGGCTGGCAGGGGTGCCCCTGTGGGCAGGGGCTCAGAGGAATGTCGGAGCCTGGGGGGTCTGGGACAAGAAGTGGCCTGAAGCCTCAAGCTCAGAGGTGCAGCCAGCTGCTGGCCTCTCTGCCCCGCAGCCCCCACCAGTCACAGCAATATCGCACACATCCCACCTGGAGGCCCCGCGGGGCTGTCCTGGCCACAGGAGAGCCCAGTCTCCCCTAATGCCTCCCGCCCCACCTGCCCCATCTGGGTCTGCAGTGAACATGGGATGAGGGCCCCTCTGAAGGCCCCAGTGCCTGGCAGGTGAGTAATTCTATTTACCTTTCCCAAGAGGCCTCCTGTCCTTTCATTTGCTCCAGTTAGCCTGGCTCCACTTGAGCTGCTCCAGCCCACGTGGCCGTGGACACCCCCTCCTCCAGGGCCCTGCCATCACCACCCACCAGCTCCTCGGAGCAGGGACACCTGGCTGGCCTGTTGGGCTTGTGTTCGAGGCTCCTGCGGCCCCTTCCTCCTTCGATGGCTGTCCTGGTCCTCTCCTCTCCATGCACGCCCCCAGCAGGCATCCGGCACTGTCCCGGGCGGGGCTCCAGAGAGGCGACCAGTCAGCGCTGGGCTCCCGCCCTGCACGTGCCTCCACCCTCTGTGTCAGACACACTGTCCCGCAGAGGGCAGCTTGGAGTCAGAGAGCACCCCAGGCAATGGGGGTCCCCACCCAGCGCACTGCCTGGCTCCTGCGTCCGGCACTCAGTGCTTCCCCAGTAAGAGGCCCTCACGGCCTGCCGAGCGGGGCACCCACGCGCCACGTGTGGACGGCACCCTCGCTGTGCACAGCTGCCCTTCCACACATGCCTGGTGCAGCAAGGGCGGCAGTCACCTTGTGAGGTGGGGCTGTGTCGGGCTGTGCCTTCACTTGGACAGTTTCAGTTTCAGGGGTCCACCCCTCCCCACTGCAGCCGGCTACGTGGCCTCAGCATGGCTGGGGTGGCTAGAGCAGGGATGAAGCAGAAGCTGGTAGAGGACATCCGGTTCTGGACTGCCCAGTGATGCCCCTGCTGGGCCTGACTGCAGCCCTGGCTGTGGCTCTAGGTGGGCCAGCGGTGCTCATGTGGGGTTGGTAGGGGGCTGTGATGTCTGTGGCCTCCCTCCATTATCGGCCCCATTCCTGTCCCTCTGCTGGTGAATGGTGACACTCCAGGGGTTGGGGAGCATGTCTAAGCAGGGACGTCCACCCAGGCCCGGGGTGGGGGTAAGCCCACCTGCACTGGGGTGGGAGGGTGGCTAGAACCTGCTCCGGTGCGGACGCCATGTGCTGGTGGGGCATCGCAGGCCACCCCTCACACACAACCCAAGGTTCCATCTCCAATGTACCTGTACGACGGGGCAACGAGGAGAGGTCCCGAGGGAACACACCAGTGCAGGCCGGTCCACGACTGCTCCCTTCTCACCTGGTGCCAGGCCCGGTGGCCCCTCTCCTCCAGCCCTGCGCTCCTCCAGGTGTGCAGGGGGCTCTTTATTATTGGAGGACCTGCGTCTCCTCTAACATTGGAGACACACGGGGACACGGCATGCATTCACAGAACAGTGTCCCCACCACGGTCCATTCTCCAGCCCTGGGCACAAAGCAGGTGTCCCCCAGGCCACGACACCGGGGAACGTGTGGATGGAGGGGGACCACTGTCTGGCTCCCACGCCTCCAGCCTCCTCCAGGCATTGGTTCTGGGTTGTCCGGCA